TATCACAGAAATGCAGATGAGGGAGCACTCTGTTCTAAGTCCAACCACACCTGCTCTGCCCACCCAAGCTGCTGGGAAACCTTCCCAGTCCAGTCAAATCACTGGAACAAGCTTGTTCATAGTGTGGGGCTGGCCAGAACTTGGGGTCACACTGGGAAGATCCCACTATGTCCTGCAGAGTGACCCTGCCCTTTCTCTTTAGACACCTCGGTTTCCCCATGCAGAAAGTGGGGAGAGAAAATCAGGGTGCTGCAACAGACAAGAGTCTCCAGAGTCACATTTGTCACCTGCTGTATTGGCAAGAGGAAGGTGTTGGTAAAGTGAAAATTCCTGTCTTTCTAAGAGCCTCTGGAATGAGCCCCAATCACAGGGTCAGGGTTGCAGGGCCACCTCTGCCACTGAGCAGTAGTGTGTGACCCTGGACAAATCACTTAGCATCCTCGACTCTCAATTTGCCCATCTGTAAAATGGAGCTTGTAGTGCTTGTCTTTCCACAGTAACACTGGGAGCAAGTGGCCAAAAGTATAGTGTTACATAAACAACCACTGCAAAGCCAAGCTTGTCTGGGGGGACTCCAAATGCTTTCTGAGTCTACCCAAAGCTAGATGCCTTCTTGGAGTCTCCCTCTTGATGGGAAGGAGCTTTTACAAGGACGAGGTTGCCTGTGGTCAGGGCTACTAAGCCAGGGCTGTGGCCATCGAGACCATGACTAGGCAGGCGCAGTGATGAAAGGTGAGGCTCTGCACTGGGGCTGGGGACACACACACACACACACGACTATACAGATAATCAGCTTGGAATGGAGAACCAACTTCTGTTCAGACATAGCACTTTGACTTTGGTTTGCAGTCCAGCTCTGTCACTTTCTAGCTGGTTAACCTTGATCAAATGACTGTGCTTCTGTGAGTCTCACTGCCCACATGTGTGAGGTAGAGAAATAAGGTCTGCTCAGAGATACGGCAGACACTTTATAAGAAGGTTGATAAAGACCTCAGTGCAGGCCTTGTAAAAAGAAGGCCTCCGGTCTCTGGTAGCAATTGTCACTTTGTGCAGAGGCCACCAAGGAGAGAGAATGATGCTTTTGAGCCCCGTCTCAAATTCCTGCAGAGTACCTCTGTTCCACTACAGCTTTATATGATGGCTGCAGGATCCCAGCCAGAAGATGAACTCCTATTTCCTTTCAGACATTTTTGAGACACAGCTTTCAGGGCTTGTAGCAAATTTTGGGCAGGCAACTTGGTGAGGAGACAGGAGCAATGTCCCTGACAAAGAACTGACATCACCCTCCTTCTCAATCCCTCCTGACTCAGCCCGAGGCAGCAACCTGTAGGTCCTGAGGTTCTGTTGTCTGTAGCTTCCCCAGGGCCAGGTAGAAAGACCAGGCTAGGTACAGAGAGCAGCTGCTTCCTAAGGCTCAGGCTGAGAGACCACCAGTGAGCAGTTGGGTGGGCCAGAGAGAGAGAGGGAGGGAAGCCAGGTTTCTTCTAAACAGGGAAGATAATAGGCTTTGTAGGTCGAGGAGGTTCTGGAAGAGTCTTACTTCTGGCGTATTTTCATTTTCAAGCTCAGTTCTTTCCAGCTCTCCCCTTAAAACATCCAGACACTTTAAGGAAGAAAAATGACATGATCATTATTACCTTTTCTTTGGGGGCAAGTTATGAAATGTATACTCTGCTGTGGTGGAAAAAAAAATCACTGTCAATCCTAGGCTGCAGCAGGAAAGGCAGCAAGGAGGGGTCTGAGGGGGTGTCACCTCTTTGAGCCCTTATGTATAAGACTGCCTTGCTTGGCTGGTAGCCCAGGCAGGATCCTGGGGACCCCCTTAACTTCCCTTTATCCCCTGGCTAGTTCTCAGCTGCTCTGGAAATGCTGAGGTGAGAGTGCCCCCAACTCATAGACATCCACTCTCAGACCTCCCTAGAGTTCCCACAGTCATGGTCCAAGGGAGAAGTTGGCTCTTAGGCCAGCGTCACACATACCTGTCTACTCAAGGTGCCCAGGTCTGGCTCCTTGCAGAAGCAGTGTGCTAGTGTCCCTTTTAGTAGACTGGTGTCCCTGGGTGGGATGGGGAGTCTGGGGGTAGTGGGGAAACCAGGCAAAGCTTGGATCACAGGCCTAAAGAAAAGAGCATGTTATGATAACTTTATTCTCCATCCCTGCCCTCTGCTTACAGCCCCTCACACTCTTGCCCCTCCTCAAGGCCCCTCTCCTGCCTGGGTACTCATGGGTTTTCTTACTCCTGTTGATGAGTGTCCTTATAACGTTCTGACATGAGCTGTTGAGGCCCCTCTAGTCTAGATTGGCTGGGGTCAGGGGACAGATGGTAGCAAAGATTGAGCTTGATCCTGGCCCATAGCCTTGGGCAGGGGACCAATTGCAGGCACTATTGTTGCGGGACTCAGGCCCACAGATCCTGTCTCCAGAAGCTTGGAAGTGAAGCAGGAGGCCTGGTAAGGCAGCCTTGTTCCCACACCTGGCAAGGCTCCTCTGCCTGCCACTGGCTGCTACCCTCTTAGACTTCTCCCGCCCCATCTCCCACCCCATCTCCCACCCCGACGTTACTCTGAGTTTTCAGAAGAGCACAGCTTTATATGCATCCCAGCTGAGGAATGGGGAAGAAGAGGGGAAGGAACCTATATTTTAATTTCTCCAGGTCTTTAAGTCTCCCCACCCGAACCCCAGCTGCACTGGGTCTAATTTTAGCTGTAGTCAGAGGGGCTTCTGTAGTTGTCTGTGAGTCGGGCTCTTTCTCCATTTCCAAGTATTTTCAAGACTCAAGGTTTTTTGTTTTTTGTCTTTTTGAGACAGGGTCTTCCATAGCCCCAGCTGGCCTGGAACTCACTATATAGACCAGGCTGACCTCAAACTCACAAAGATCCCCCTGCCTCTGCCTCCCAAGTGCTGGGATTAAAGTTGTGTACCACCACACCCAGCTAAAACTCAAGGTCTTTATGATTTTCTGCCAGTGTCTACAGTGACCTGCCCTGAATGTGGGACCAGCAGGACAGATGGGTTGGTTTCGGGTCTTTGAGAGTTAAGAATGAATGCCTTTCTAAGGAGGCTGGAGACTTGTCTCTGGAGGGACATGAGGCAGGGGTGGCGGGTGAGGAGGCATGACACACTTGCTCTGAGAGGTAGGCCAGAGAGCCGGTGTGGGAGAGAACATGGAGTGGGCCTTTTGAGCATTGCAGCAGCTGTTCCTGGGGAAGCTTGGCTTCAAGACTGACTCAATATGGGCTATGGGAGAGAGACCCAAGGGAAAGAACTTCAGGAAGTCTTGAGGTGGTGGGGAGGTTCCTGCCTTGCCATTTCTACATCAACTCAGTCTCTCAGAAGGGACAGAAACTCCCCTTGTGAGGAGAAAGATTGGAAGTCAGGAGTAGGGTGTCTTAGAAAGAGCCCTCTGGGTTCTGGGCAAGCCACGGCTGTGCCCCCTGACCGATCTAAAGTGATCCTCCGCATCTGTCAGGCTGTGAGGGATGTCATAGGGCCAGGGGGTACAGGAATACCCTGTTTCAGTCAGGGACAGTCTCATGTAGAGGGGCCAGCAGCCTTGAAAGAGGGACTCCCCATTGTTTCCTCATCTTTGGCCCTACCAGGATTGGGGGGCGTTTGTGCTGATGGTGACATTTCCCAGGGCAGGCCAGAGGAAGTCAGGATTGGGACTGGCAGGCAGCCAGAGCTCTCTTCCATAGAGATATAATTACTAATAATGACCTCTAGCCCAGGCAGCAAGTAAGGTGGCTACTCAGGTTGGCACCAACCCAGTCTGGCAAATCTGCAAAGTGGTAGCTGGGAAGGGACAGTGGGGAAGGGGGTCCCTGTAGGAAATGGGAAGATCTGTGAAGCCCTGAGAGTGCATTTCTCAGCAAACAACCTTGGAAACCCCAAGTTATATTTCCACTCACTGTATCTCGCTGGCTTTCTTCATTTCTATTATTTGTATAAATATTAATATTGATGATGGGAGTGAGTGAGTGAGTGTGTGTGTGTGTGTGTGTGTGTGTGTGTGTGTGTGTTGCACTGACGGGAGTGATTGGTGTTGGTCCAAGAACAGAGGGATAGCTAGGAGCTGCCAGGCAAGATGTATCTGTCCCTGAGGTTTTCTGCAGTTGGTGACTGCAGTGACCAGTCCTTGAACAGCTCCATCTCACCTCTCCCTCACCTCTGCTTCTTTGGGAGAGATGTTGGACAATAGTTAAAGACTTGGGAAAAGTCTCAATTATGCTATCAAAGAAATGCAAAGACTTTATGGCTTGCATTGGGACTTGTTTTTATTTTATTTTTGTTGCTGTTGTTGACTGTTTGCCTTTTCATATCTACACCCCACTGTGACTATAATTCTCCTCCTCTCCTGCTTTCTCCTTTCTCTACACCTTCTCCTCCCTCTTCCCTCCTGCCATGCGAGATGCTAAAGAGTGGGGTGATGGTGGTAAGAAACAGTGACATAAAAGAAAAATATACCCCTGTGCATTTTCAACATGTAGTTGAAGAGGCCTAAATTAAGGACTAGAAAAAAGCAAAAGAAACATTACTGGATAATATGTGAGTGAGAGCATGAAAATATAGAATGATTATCTCAGGGCAGAGAGGGTGGGAGCAGGTGGGGTAGGTAGGCAGGGAGTCCTGGCTTGCCACGGCGTTTGGTCTACGTGGCATTTGGGGAAGCAGGCAGGCCATGCTTTCGAAATGAATGGTCAAATGCTTGGGGAACATCTGTGCTCCTCTGTCCGTCCTAGCTGCCACAGTGTGTCTGCCATGCTCGTCCACTCTGGGTGCTTTTTCCCTACAGACAGATGAGCACATCTCTTGCCTGCTCAGAGTGAATGCACTGGCTTAAGCCCTTGGTCTGTAGGGGCTGAAAACTTAAAACTCTCACAAGGAATCCAAAACATCAAGCATCCTTCCACCAGGGAAGCATTATGTGTATGAAACTTTCTCGTTCGGACATATGT